CGGGTCCTGAAGAAGGTGCTCTCCAGTCCAGGAGGGAGGAGCCCACGAAGACTTCGCCTGCTGCCTGGAGTGATTTATAAAACTTAGGTTAATAAAGTTTTATTTTTAAACCTTCTTTTGGTGTCCTGTGTCCCTTAAATATGTTCGGTCTGAGCCGGTCGTAACAATGATTTTGACAGCACCGATGAAAAATGTTCCAATTTGTTCTGTCAAACGTCCATCTTGAATGCTTGCTTGTTATTGGTCCACTTTTGACGCATCTTACGCATTGGGGAGGAGCGTCAGGGAATATTATTTTACAATGGTGGACAACAGAAAATATGACAGCGGAGCGCAGAAAAGAAGGAAGAGAAAAGAAAAAGAGCATCGCGACAAACAAAATGCCTAAACTGACAGGCTTTTTTAAACCTGTTAGCGGAGATGGAGCAGAAACATCAATACCCCCCGCTCCTCAAACCCTTAGCTTGGCTAACACCGGCACTACGATCCCGCCAGAACCTTTAACCGTGACTGAGTCGGTGGCTGGACTGGCGTCTGTGGAGTCAGAGTCGGTGGAAGCGGGATCTTCTTCAGCAGATGGAAAGACGACTGTGGATCCGTACAGTACCGATCCCGCGCATTGGGGGGAAATTGACGGGTCCGTGCTGGCTTACTGGGCTGAGCGAGGACCGGAGAGCTGTCAAAATATGAATGTTGGCTTTCAAGCATCGGAACGGGTGTACAAGCATCAAAAGCGTCACTTCTCCAAATCTCTCTTTAAACGCAAGATGTTAAATGGTGAGTACATCGAAAGACCGTGGCTGCTCTACTCTCCATCCACCGGAGCTGCGTTTTGTTTTGCATGCTGCATTTTCAGCAAAGCTAATACTCCGTCAAGCTTTGAAACTGGTTTCAGTGACTGGAAGCACGCAACTGTACGCATGAAAGAGCACGAAAACAGCGAACATCATAGAAAAACAATGCTGACATATGTTTCACTTGCAGCAACCAGCGGGAGGATAGACACAGAACTGCAGAAACAATTTGAATCTGAGTGTTCATATTGGACTGAAGTGTTGAGAAGAGTTGTGTGTGTGTTGTCAAGTTTTTAGCAGAGAGGGGACTGGCTCTTAGAGGAGCCAGTGACATATTTGGCCGAACTGATAATGGGAATTATCTGGGAATACTGGAGTTAATCAGCGAGTTTGATCCTTTTCTGAAGTCTCACATAGAGAAATATGGAAA